CACAGGCAATCAGACCATAGCAGGCATCTTCCTGTCTGGGAACACTCTTACACTGCTGGTGGGACTGCAGATTAGTAAGAGCTAAAAATAGAAATACCATTTGATCCAGCAATCCCACTACTAGGCATCTACTCAAAAGAACAAGACATTCTATAAAAAGGACACCTGCACGCGAATGTGTATGGCAGCACAATTCACAACTGCAAAGCTGTAGAATCAACCCAAGTGCCCATCCATGAGTGGATTAATGTGGTGTATGCATACCATGGAATTCTACTCAACTGCAAAAAACAGTGGTGATCTAGCACCTCTTGTATTATCCCGGATGGAGCTGGAGCCCATCCTCCGAAGTGAGGTATCACAAGAATAGAAAAACAAGCACCACTGTACTCGCCATCAGATTGGTACTAACTGATGAACACTAGGTAGTAATAGTGATGAACACTAGGTAGCTCACATGGTAGTAATACTCCTTGGGTGCCAGTCCGGTGGGAGGGGGGTTGGGGTGGGCAAACTCACAACTGATGGACGCAGAGCAACACTGTATGGGGGACGGGCACGCCTGTAGCCCTGGCTTGGGTGAGGCAAATGCATTACATGTAACCAAAATGTTTGTACCCCCATAATATCCTGAATTTAAAAATAAAATAAAATAGTATGGTAGCTAAATAAATTCAGCCTGAAAGGGTTCATTAAAAAAAAAAAAGTATGGAAAGTATCCTAATGGCCCTTTCATCTAATGTCCTCATTGTACCAACAAGAAGAGGTGGGAAAGCGCCCTTTCCACACGCTTGTGCTCACTCTCTTGACTCGGACAGGTCTGGGGTCCGGCTGTTCTCCAGTCGGTTTCTCGCATCGGGTCATTGAGGTACTTCTTGCCCACCCACTGCAGAAGATGAAACAGAGGCCCAGCCACATGCATGTAGCATGTCCCAGGCACCCGATGGCAAAACAGGGACAGAAGCCAGCCATCCTGACCTCTCCCCCATGCATCCCTCCTGCCTGCCCTCATGAAATCACCTGGGCCAGAAGTTAGCAAGAAAGTCTTACAAGCAGCTGGATGGAAAAGCCGTTGATCCAGCGCTCATGCAGATAGATAGCTGTCCCTCTAAGGTCAGCTGGTAGGAGGACTTCTTATCAGTGACGCACAACGTGCACACAGCAAGTCCTCATGAAGGTGCCTGGTCTCCAGCTCCTCAGCAGAGGAGCAAGGCTAATCCAACGTCCAAGGTGACAGTGCCCAGCATAGCTTTGTCCTGTTTGTTTGTCATCGGGCATTGTATGGGGAAGGCACCTTCCAGCAGACTGTCCGCTCTCCTTTGCAGAAGCCGCAGGCTTCTCTACACCCTCAGTCCATCGTAATGTCTCTGTCCCTGTCCCCATGTTTCAACAAGCCTCGTCTGATTACTGTCGCCCACAAGGTCTAGAAAAGGAATGCACGTTGAAGACAATAACCACATAGAGAGATAGCAAAGTTATGCTGCCAGACCACATACTCCCACGTGTACAAACCCAGATAAAGAAATGAGGACACACTCAAGCTTAGGGTTGGAAATGGGCTTTGCACCCTGTTCTCTGCACGCTGCCTGGGCTGCACCATGGCACCACCGCGCAGAGCTGAGGGGGTCCGGCTGGGTAACCAGATGTGTCTGTGTCCACCTGGAGGATTCCGGAATTTTCGTTCTTGTGTCTGCAGGTCTTAGAGTGTAAGGCAAAAAGGTGAATCTTGGAGTCACATAGTGTGGAGGGTTTAGATTGTAGTTCAGTGTCCCATCACATGTATGAACCTTGCACAAGTTACCCAATTTCTTAATATATATATGTCCCTTTTACGTGTGAATTGGAAACAATAGGGACACAGGGAAGCTGCTGCAGAGGTTGAGAGTAGGTGCAAGAGCCCAGGTTTGGTTAAAGGTGGTGATGTAGTTGGACTCGGCCTGTGGAACTTAATGTGCTGTGTCAGTCCTGTGTCCCAGTGGTGCTTGAGGGGATGAATGAGTGAGTGAGTGAATGAATGATACATGCCCAAAGCTTGACTTCTCTTCCACGATTGCTCCATCGGTCACTGAGCTGTGTCTGTCGGGAGCCCTCGTCGGCGCTGAGTGCTGTGCTCTGCTGCGTTCAGGGCATGTTTCCAGATGGTGTTTCTTGGCTGCTGGGGGGGAGCCCCTGCCCAGGCTTGGGTCTCAGCCCCACCCTTGCGAGCTGAGAATACAGTCCTGTCCGTCACCCTGGAAAGATCCGGGGACCTAGTCCCAAAAGGTGGGAGAGGCAGAGAGGGAATGACCCCAGTGCATGCAAGAGGATTTGTCTAAAGTCATGTGAGTGGGAGCCGGGGGTGGCTCCCACCAGCCAGGAGAGTTGTGAGTTCATGTGAGAGGGAAATCCCTGTGGCCCAGAGCAGATAGGGAGGGTGCCACGTCATGGGGAGCACGTAGGGAGGATGCCATGTCATGGGGAAGATGCCACACCATGGGGAGCACGTAAGGATACCATGCCATGGGGAGCACGTAAGGAGGGTGCCATGTCATGGGGAAGATGCCACACCATGGGGAGCACGTAAGGATACCATGCCATGGGGAGCATGTAGGGAGGGTGCCATGTCATGGGGAAGATGCCAGGCCATGGGGAGCATGTAGGGAGGATGCCACGTCATGGGGAGCACGTAGGGAGGATGCCACATCATGGAGCATGTAGTGCGAATCCCATGCGATGGGGCGTGGAATCTGGATTCCAGTGTGTGGTCCTGCTGCATCCATTGGCCAGGGTTTTTCTAGTCTACACGTTGCTGGAAACCTGAAGGATAAAAGCTCGTTGTAGCGAGGTGGGGAATGGAGTCACTGATGAGCACAGGTATGGGTGTTTTGTGTTGTGGGAGTGGGTAAGGCCTGGGAAGGTGGACAGAGAGAGAGAAAGGAAGTTAGTAGGAAACAGTGAGGCAGGTGGTAAAGGGCCTTTGCTCACATCCTCCCAGAGCCCAGGAGGGAAGAATCCCTGGGGTGGGAACCTCAAGAGGGGCTCCCTTGCTACCCATGCAGGTGGTCAGAGATCTGTAAGGAAACATGCAAGGCTCTTGCAACTGATGGTGAAATGGATAGCGGCTGCCCTATTGATCTGTTAGGTACCATGTTTCCCCTAAAATAAGACAGGGTCTTATATTTATGTCAAGAAGACACCCTAGGGGTTATTTTCAGGGGATATTTTTTTTAAGTACGGTACAACAATCTACATTGATTCAAATATAGTTAAGTCATTGTCTTCTGGAACATCATCATAACTCTCCAAAGCCTGAATTCCATCCTGAGTGTCTTGCGACTCTCTTTCCTTTAGAGCCATCGGCCCCAATCTCTAACGTGGAGCACTAGAGCTCTCGTGGGGCAGATGAGAAGGGCTGCCCATCGTCTTTACCGCTCCGCAACGAAATGCGTGCGTTGTGCAGATGCGCTGCGTAGCCACGCCCATCACTAGGTCTTATTTTCCGGTAGGGCTTCTATTGTGCAAATGCTTAGAAATCCTGCTAGGGCTTATTTTATGGGAAGGTCTTATTTTCCGGCAAACACGGTACATCGAAAGTATCAGGCGGCCGTAGGGGAACAGTGGGTAGATGGGAGAGACACCAAGAGGTTAGCAGCAGTGCAGGCACAGCATCTCCTCTCGTGGAGGAACACTCCCACCTGGTGGCCGTTTCGTGCGTTGCAGGGTCGGTTTGTGTTGGGCTAAGGGTGCAGGCGTGGAATCTGAGGGGCGGCTGCCCCCTTGTGGCCAACCGAAGGAAAGCAGAAGAGAAGTAGGTGCCCCGTAAGGCTAAGGCTGTGTGTCCCAACAAAGGAGTTGGGTGGTCACTTGGAGAATTCCTGCCCCCTGCTCATTCATCTGATGCGTGAAAAATATAAACAACATGAGATCACAAGGCCATGGGATGGGAAGGTCCTTGGCACTCCCCACCCCTGCAAGCCAGGGAGCTGAGCGCTGGGGTTCCACATTACCCACACAGGCCCCCGGACTCCCTCGGTCTCTCCCTCCCAAGGGTTCCAAGCTCCCGCGCACCTCCAGCTGCCTTTGCACCAAGCAAGGAGATCTAGCCCCTGCACCCCAGGTTTGCTGGTGAAAGAAAATAGCTGCAGCTGCCTAGATCCCTCCTCCCAACCGCCCCAGGACGCGCCTTCCTGTCCTTGGGGAAGGGCTGGTGCAGTTTCCCCAGCGCCCACCCCACTCCCTGTGCTGTTGAAACCCAAATTCTCCACCAGGGCAAGGCGCGGCTGTGTGCAGTAACAATCTAGACTCTTCTCCCCATGTCTTCATGCAAGAGCCTGCATTCAGCATGCATCTAAAAGTACCTTGAAATTGCCACATGTTGCGTTCATCCGCAGCTTCCCACGGAGGCAGTGGAGTACGCACTGGGGTGGGGAAAGGGAAAGGCCAGCCCCTCTTGCAAAGCTGTGGGAAAACTGCCCATCAGCACGCACAGCCGCTTCCTGTCCTTTGGGCGTGGGGCTGTGTGATACATTTGCCCCCACGTGTCCGTGAGCCTCGGAGCTCAGCACTCGCCGCCCCCTCATCTGGGGCTAAAGAACGCCCGTGTGCGTTGCAGCTGGCGACACAGAGAGGCTTCAGCGTGAGCCTCTGTGGCGAGGGATACACACCAGGGAGTCCGGGGGGAGCCAAACGCCGCATTTCTGCAACAGGAACATCCAACCCGGGCACGCAGGGCAGGCTCCATCCTCTGTTCTCTGTTTTGCTGCTTAATAACGCTTAAAGACTCCACCCCTAAAGGCCATTTTTTCCCATCACATTCGAGCACGGGTCTTCCCGGGTCTCCAATGTCTTCCTTTTTCCCTGCCCGCCCAACCGCGAGTCAGAAGCCCCGCTGGGCATCCCGCAGCAGTGCCCGCCCCCGCTGGCACAGGGCCTTTGACAGCCACAGGCCGCCCTCCGATCTCGGTGGCTGTGCCCGCCCCCGTCCGCCGCTCACCAGCCTCGGCTTCCCTGTCTCGCTGCAGGTTTTTCCCACTCGGCCTTCACGTTCGGGATCGAGAGCCACATCAGCCAGTCCAACATCAATGGGACGCTAGTGCCCCCGGCTGCCCTCATCTCCATCCTGCAGAAGGGGCTGCAGTATGTGGAAGCCGAGATCAGCATCAATGAGGTACGTGGGCCGGGCACAGACCCCGGGAGCGCCCGGGCAGCGGGGCGGAGCTGGCGCGCGTCCGGTACTGGGGGTCGGTCGCGATTCCTTCCCCCGCTTGGTGGTGCTCCTTTGTTCGATGAGGAGACGGTGGTGGTGCGGACACACCAGTAGCAGGTGTTTCAGGCCCCTTAGACGTGGATCTGTGTTTTTCACGTAAATGCCCAGAATCTCTGCTGCCGATGCACAGCCACGCCCGAGAAGGACGTGCATGTCTTTCCCTGGCACTAGCGCGCTCCCGGTGCCTTCGCAGACGCGCGCTCCCAGAGCCTGCGCAGACGCGCCTTCCCGGCGCCTGCGCAGAAGCGCCTTCCCGGCGCCTGCGCAGATGCGCCTTCCCGGCGCCTGCGCAGACGCGCCTTCCCGGTGCCTGCGTAGATGCGCGCTCCCGGAGCCTGCGCGAACGCGCCCTCCTGGTGGTGCTTGCGCAGATGCACCTTCCCGTTGCAGCTTCTCGAGGTAAGTGCGCAGAAGGGATACACTGCGCACGGTAGGGGAGAACCTGTGTTTTGCGGGAACCTGACGACAGGTATGACCAGAGGGAGCGTCGGGTCGTGGAGGGGGCCTCATGTTGAGGAGGAGCTCAGGTGACGCGTCCTGTGCTCGCACGGTGGTAACTGCGAATTATGGCCTACCGCGCTGTGTCCCGGCCCGCTTCCTAGACGGGCACAGTGCGTGGTTGTGCGAGTCCCGTGCCAGTACTGATGCTCGGCTGTCTGCGCTTTCCACAGAGCCCCGCCCGATCCCTCGGTCGCTGGGACTCGCCACCTCTCTGCTGACTCCACCGAGGCCCTGTTCCAACCCCCACTTGCCAGCGCCCTCCCGCCTCTCTCTCCCCTGCTCCGACCTCCGCTCGCCTCTCTCTCCCCCACACTCTGACCCTCGCTTACCAGGCCCTCCTGCCTCTCTCTCTCCTGCTCCGACCCCTGCTTGCCAGCACCCTCCTGCCTCTCTCTCCCCTGCTCCGACCCCCGCTTGCCTCTCTCTCCCCTGCTCCGACCCCCGCTTGCCTCTCTCTCCTCTGCTCAGACCCCCGCTCACCTCTCTCCCCTGCTCCGACCCCCGCTTGCCTCTCTCTCCCCTGCTCCGACCCCCGCTTGCCTCTCTCTCCCCTGCTCCCACCCCGCTTGCCTCTCTCTCCCCTGCTCCCACCCCCGCTCGCCTCTCTCTCCCCCCTGCTCCGACCCCCGCTCGCCTCTCTCTCCCCTGCTCCGACCCCCGCTTGCCTCTCTCTCCCCCTGCTCCTCGGACAGGGAGAGAGAGGACGGAGGGAGCGGAGGAAGGGGAGGGGTCGGAGCCAGGGAAGAGGAGGCGACGTGGCGGAGCAGGAGCGTGAGAGAGCGAGCGGGTCGGAGCAGTGAAGAGAGCAAGGCAGGTGGGTCGGAGCAGGGAGAGAGGCACGGGGTCGAGCAGGGGAGAGAGGCGAGCGGGGTCGGCAGGGAGAGAGGAGGGGTAGCGAAGGAGAGGCACGTCGGGCAGAGGAGAGAGAGCAACGGGGTCGAGAGCAGGGAGAGAGGCGAACTGGGGGTCGGGACAGGGGAGAGAGAGGAAGCAGGGGGGGTCGGAGCAGAGGAGGAGAGCAAGCGGTGGGGTCGGAGCAGGATGAAGCAAGCGGGTCTGGGGGTGAGAGGCAATGCTGAGCAGGAAAAGCAATGGGGTGGGCAGCAGGGAGAGGGCGAGGGGACAGACGAGAGTGGAGAAGGAATGGGTCTGAGCAGGGGAGAGAGGCAAGCGGAGGGGGGGGTCGGAGCAGGGGAGAGAGAGGCGAGTGGGGTCGGCATGGGAGAGAGCGCGAGGTTCGGAGCAGGAGAGAGCGAGCGGGGTCGAGCAGAGGAAGCGAGAGAGGGAGCGGGGGTCGGAGCAGGGATGAGAGAGGCAAGCGGGGGTTGAAGCAGGGGAGAGAGAGGCAAGCGGAGGGGGGTTGGAGCAGGGGAGACAGAGGCAACGGGGGGGATCAGAGCACGAGAGAGAGAGAGAGAGAGAGAGAAGAGAGAGAGAGAGAGAGGATGAGAGACGATGAGAGAGGGAGAGGGAGGAGGGAGGAGGAGGCGAGAGGGAGACGGAGGGAGGGAGGGAGAGAGAAGGAGAGGGAGGAGGGAGAGGGAGGGAGGAGAAGAGAGAGAGGACAGAGAGAGGACGGAAGGGAGGAGAGAGAGGAGGGAGGGTAGGGAGGAGGGAGGAGACAAGCGTGAGGGATCGAGCAGGGAGGAGAGAGCAGCGGGGTTGGAGCAGGGGAGAAGAGAGCAAGCGGAGGGGTTGGAGCGGGGGAGAGAAGAGGAATGCGGGGGTGGGATCAGAGCACGACAGAGAGATGAGAGAGGAGGAAGAGAGAGAGAGAGAGAGAGAGAGAGAGAAAGAAGAGAGAGAGAGAGGAGGAGAGGAGAAGGGAGGAGGAAGGAGGAGGCAGCAGAGGGGTAGGACAGGGGAGGAGAGAGGAGACAAGCGCGAGGGGTTGAGCAGGGGAAGAGAGAGACAAGGGCGGACAGGGAGAGAGAGCAAGCGGGGGGTGGAGCAGGGGAGAGAAGAGCAGCGGGGGGTCGGAGCAGGGGAGAGAGGAGGCACGCGGGGGGTTGGAGCAGGGGAAGAGAGGCAGGGGGTCGGAGCCAGGGAGAGAGAGGCAGCGGGGGTTGTTGGAGCAGGGGGAGAGAGCAAGCGGGCGGGGTCGGAGCAGGGAAGAGAGGCGGCGAGGGCGCTGGCAAGTGGGGGGTTGGAACAGGGCCTCGGGAGTCAGGCAGAGAGGTGGCGAGTCAGCGACGCGAGGGATCGGGCGGGCTCTGTGCGAAGCGCAGACAGCGAGCGTCAGCACTGGCACGGACTCGCATCAACTACGCACTGTGCCCGTTCTATGGAACGGGCCGGGACACAGCGCGGTAGGCCATAATTCGCCAGTTACCACCGTGCGAGCACAGGACGCGTCACCTGAGCTCCTCCTCAACACGAGGCCCTCCACGACCGACGCTCCTCTGGTCATACTGTGCCCGTCAAGGTTCCCGCAAAACACAGGGTTCTTCCCTACCGTGCGCAGCTGTTCCCTTCTGCGCACTTACTCAGAAGCTGCAACGGAAGGTGCATCTGCGCAAGCGCACCAGGGAGAGGCCGTTACGCAGGTCGTGGAGCGCGCATCTACGCCAGCACCGGAAGGTGCGTCTGCGCAGGCGCCGGAAGGCGCGTCTGCGCAGGGGCCGGAGGCGCGTCTGTCAGGCTCTTGGGAGCGCACGTCTGCGCAGGCTCTGGGAGCGCTAGTGCCAGGGAAAGACGTGCACGTCCTTCTCGGGCGTGGCTTGTGCATCGGCAGCAGAGATCTGGGCATTTACGTGAAAAACAACAGATCCACGTCTAAGGGGCCTGAAACACTCTGCTACTGGTTGCGACCACCCACCCGTCTCCTCCATCGAAACAAAGAGCACCAACCAAGCGGGGAAGAATCGCGACCGACCCCAGTACCGACGCGCGCCAGCTCCGCCGGCTTCCGCGGCGCCGGCGGTCTGTGCCGGCCCACGTACCTCATTGAATGCTGATCTCGGCTTCCACATACTGCAGCCCCTTCTGCAGGATGAGATGAGCAGCGGGGCACTAGGGTTCCCATGATGTTGGACTGGCATGTGTGCCTCTCGATCCCGAACGTGAAGGCCGAGGGGAAAAACCGCAGCGAGACAGGGAAGCCGAGTGGGAGCGCGGACGGGGCGGGCACAGCCCCACATCCGAGGGGGCGCTGTGCTGTCAAGGCCCTTTGCCAGCGGGGCGGGCACTGCTGCGGCGATGCCACCAGCGGGGCTTCTGGATCCCGTGGGCGCAGGAAGAAGGAAGACATGGGAACCCGGGAAGGACCGTGCTCGAATGTGATGGAAAAATGGCCTTTAGGGTGAGTCTTTAAGCGTTATTAAGCAGCAAAACAGAGAACAGAGGATGGAGGCCTGCCTGCGTGCCGGTTGGATGCTCCTGTTGCAGAAATGCGGCGTTTTTGCTCCCCCGGACCCTGTGTGTATCCCTCGCCACAGAGGCTCACGCTGAGCCTCTCTGTGTCGCCAGCTCAACGCACACGGGCGTTCTTTACCCAGATGAGGGCGGCTGAGTGCTGAGCTCCGAGGCTCACGGACACGTGGGGGCAAACTGCATCACACAAGGCCCCACGCCCAAAGGACAGGAAGCGGCTGTGCGGCTGATGGCAGTTTTCCCACAGCTTGGCCAAGAGGGGCTGCCTTCCCTTTCCCCACCCAGTGCGTACTCCACTGCTCCGTGGGAAGCTGGGATGAACGCAACATGTGGCAATTTCAAGGTACTTTTAGATGCATGCTGAATGCAGGCTCTTGCATGAAGACATGGGGAAAAGTCTAGATTGTTACTGCACACAAGCCGCGCCTTGCCCTGGTGGAGATTTGGGTTTCAACAGCACAGGGAGTGGGGTGGGCGCTGGGGAAACTTGCACCAGCCTTCCCAAGGACAGAAGCGGTTCCTGGGGCGGTTGGAGTGAGGTCTAGCAGCTGCAGCTATTTTTCTTTCAACAGAAACCTGGGGTGCAGGGCTAGATCCTTGCTTGGTGCAAAGCAGCTGGAGGTGCGCGGAGCCTTGGAACCCTGGAGGGAGAGACCGAGGGTCGGGGCCTGTGTGGGTAATGTGGAACCCCAGCGCTCAAGCTCCCTGGCTGCAGGGTGGGGAGTTGCCAAGGACCTTCCCATCCCATGCCTTGTGATCTCATGTTGTTTAATTTTCAGCGCATCAGATGAATGGAGCAGGGCAGGAATTCTCCAAGTGACCCACCCAACTCCTTTGTGGGACACACAGCCTTAGCCTTACGGGGCACCCACTTCTCTTCGCTTTCCTTCGTTGGCCCACAAGGGGCAGCGCCCTCAGATTCCACGCCTGCACCCTTAGCCCAACACAAACCGACCCTGCAACGCACGAAAGCACAGGTGGGACGTGTTCCTCCACGAGAGGAAGATGCTGTGCCTGCACGCTGCTAA